CCTAATAAAAACGGCACAAGTGAGACCCCTCTTGCTATTGTTACATGTTAAATCTTATTTGATTGATTTTACTGTATTCCAAATTGCAAACACAAGGTAGAAGGTTGTAATTATAATTTTATTGATTCATCATTAAGTTTTAATCAAGCTGTTGCTACAGGGAATGGTTATTATTTTGGCAGTGCTCTTTTGTTTCTAAGTTTCTTTAATAGTTGCTACAAGAAAATAACTGTGGCTATATTCAATACAAACAAAATGTTATTGTTTCTAAGGAATCTAACATAATAACCTTCTATCAAAGCAAATGTGTTACAGAATGATTGCACTAAAGTATTTCTTATAATCTCTATCTAGCTTACTATGCCTTTCTGACCATTGACAGCTATAAATGTTTTCTATTCCTATTTCTTTTTATTTTACAAACGAAAATTTATCTCCTCTACATTCACCTGTTGGTTTCTCTTAATCTCAGCAACCACACTTGCATGAATCTGAAATCCAAAGTTTATCTTCTATGAGACTAAAACAAGTTATTAAAAAAAGGAGTAATATGTATATAAGCATTTATTGAGAAAATCGATACTGAATGGCTTCAGGAAGTTTTTTGTTTTTTGTTTTGTTTTTTTTAAGTTCAAAGATTATTAGAGCATCAGAACCAACATTTCCACAAACTTCATAAATTTGGCAAACTTCTCAGCATACTAAACCGTAACTGAATTTAAAGTCCATTTAAGGTCAATATTGGCAGGGTGCAGTGGCTCGTGTCTGGATTACAGTACTTTAGAAGGCCACAGAAGAATTGCTTGAAGCCAGGAGTTCAAGACTAGCCTGGGTAACATAGTAAGGTCCCATCTTTACAAAACTGTTTTAAAAAATTAGCCAGGCATAGTGGCACTTGCCTACAGTCCCAGCTACTCAGGAGGCTAAAGTGAGGATCATGTGAGCCCAGAAGTTACAGGCTACAGAAGCTATGATCACATCACTGCATTCCAGCCTGGGTGACAGAGTGAGACCCTGTCATTCATTCATTTGTAAGAGTGTGTGTGTGTGTGTGTGTGTACGTGCATATATATATACACGCACACACATATGTATATATACTTATATTTTTATTTAAATAGTCAACATCAAGAAGTATTTCATGTGGAAAGTCCTCAATCTATGTACCCACTGCTGACCAACTGTCCTTTTAAGATTCTCTAGGGGCCAGGCCCGGTGGCTCAGGCCTGTAATCTCAGTACTTTGGGAGGCCTAGGCGGGCGGATCACGAGGTCAGGAGATCGAGACCATCCTGGCTAACACAGTGAAACTCTGTCTCTACTAAAAATACAAAAAATTAGCCGGCCGTGGTGACAGGCGCCTGTAGTTCCAGCTACTCGGGACGCTGAGGCAGGAGAATGACACGAACCCAGGAGGTGGAGCTTGAAGTGAGCCGAGATGGCACCACTGCACTCCAGCCTGGGTGACAGAGCGAGACTCAATCTCAAACCAAAAAAAAAAAAAAGATTCTCTAGGAATTGCCAGGCCTAGTGGCACACACCTGTAGTCTCAGCTACTGAGGATCCCTTGAGGCCAAGAGTCTGAAGCCAACATGGGCAAATAACCAACAGCCCAGCTCCATAGAAACTATAAACAGGTGTTTGATATTTGGCCTTATCAGCTCAGGGACCACAGAACCCCCAAGAGACACAGTGCAGGTACAATGTCTTCATCTGTTGTATCTCCAGTCTCATGGATACTTGTTTCCTAATTCTAAAATCTATCTACCCCACCTCTCAAGCCTAACAGTACACATATCAAATGTTATGACATAATATTTGGAAATCTTAGAAACTTGGAGCCTTTTCCAAGGCTCCAATTTTTTAAGATATTAGTTACAGATACCAGGAGCATTACCCCGAGGCGGGTGGATCACGAGGTCAGGAGATCGAGACCATCCTGGCTAACGTGGTGAAACCCCGTCTCTACTAAAAATACAAAAAACTAGCCGGGCGTGGTGGTGGGCGCCTGTAGTCCCAGCTACTCGGAGGCTGAGGCAGGAGAATGGCGTGAACCTGGGAGGCGGAGCTTGCAGTGAGCCGAGATCGCGCCACTGCACTTCAGTCTGGGTGACACAGCGCGAGACTCCGTCTCATAAAAAAAAAAAAAAAAAAAGAATATACAAGACTTTCTACAAACAAAAAGATGTATGATTAACATGAGAAATCTAATAGCTACTATTTGCCCTACCTATTATATCACTTTCTATTTTCTTAGACAGAAAGTTTACAAACTGAAGCAAGCCTGCCCTTCAACATGGCAAACTAGCTTTCAGGCAAGATGGCCCCAGGTGAAATGAAGTGGCCAGGTTCTTTTTTGTTGCTTGCTCTCAACAACGTATCAACAAATCTAAGTATATATACTCCAAACTAACTGCCTATAATAAGACTGTGTATCAGGACATAATCACCAAAAATAATTTTAAAGAAATGAAGTACTAACAGATGCTATAACACGGATGAACCTGGAAAACACTACAGTAGCTGAAAAAAGTCAGTAACGAAAGATCACATATCATAGGATTCCATTTATACCAATGTCCAAAACAGGCAAATTCATAGAGACAGAAAGCATACCAGTGGTTGCCTAGGTGTGGGGAAGGTTGGGGTGAAATGGGGATTATGACCGCAATGGGTAAGGGCATCCTTTGGGGAGTGATGAATGTTTTAAAATGGATGCTGGCAATGGTTGTACAACTCTGTGAATATGGTGTAAACCACTGAATTGTACACTTTAAATGGGTGAACTGCATAGTATGTGAACTATATCTCAATAAAGCTGGTTTCTTTAAAAAAAATCTTCTTTAATTTTTACTTTTCTGTTAACTCTCTTTTCCATATCCCCAATTCACTATATTCTTAAGCAAGGAATATTAGGTTACTAAGCAGTTTGTAGATTCTTGTTCAAACTTCCTAAAGAAAAAAAGTACATCAAAAACAAATTCACAATATAATACAATTTTTTAATGTAAATGTTATAAAGGTTAATTCATTTCCCAAGTTTCCTATGTAAACATATGCCATTACTTTTCTAATTACAAAGAAAAGTGTGATTTGATAAAAGGCTTACAAACTTAAGACCTTTTTCTTCACTGTGTTGTCCATTTCTGTTATGCCCATCACAAGACTGCCGGTTTAATAAGACTGCATGAATACCAGGCTGTGCGATTTGAAAATAGTGTAACAAGCAACAGACAAGGCTGTCCCTCAGCATTGTGCAGAAGGGGTAGGGAGAAAGTAAGTTAATGAGGGGAATGAAGAAACTTTTATTTGTATTATACATTTCTCCTCTGCATTCGTTTTGAGTTTTTTTTTTTTTTCTTTAATCATAACTGTGTTTATGATTTTGGTTTAAAATATCACTTTTGACCAGGCACAGTGGGTCATGCCTATCACCCCAGTACTTTGGAAGGCTGAGTCAGGAGGACTATATGAGGCCAGGAGTTTGAGACCAATCTGGAAAATATAATGAGACCCCCATCTCTTTGAAAATAAAAACAAAAATAAATATCACTTACGCTTACCACTCACAGTATTGTGTTCTACTTTGACTGAAATTATTTACAAAAGAAAGTTTGTTTTTTAAACACATGGTAGGAACAGACTGCCTATTTTTTGTCATTGTTTCCAATTTTACTTCATTATAATGATACAACTAATGATCTGTAATGACACTGTCTCTGCAGTATTCACTAAAACTGGCCCTGTGAGCTATTGTTATTTTTATTAAGTTCCAATTATGCTTGAAGAAGTCTATCTTCTTTATTTGCTGGGTGCAAAGTTTAACATATTATCAACAGACCAATCTCGCCATTGTGTTGTTCAAATCTTCTATGGCCTTAGTAAGTTTATGCCTGCTTTGAGAGAGAGACGTGACTATCTCCAACTAAGACTATGGTTTTGTTCATTTCTCCGTAAAATTCTGTCAGTTTTTGCTTTATATGTTTTGAGACTATGTTATTCAGTGCATGTCCAGGCTTGTTATATCTCCTGAAAGAACTGTTCCTGTATCATTATGCACTGGTCTCTTCGTTTTTTGCCTTATGTATTTTTTCCTAATATTAATATTATTCCACAAACTCTTTTCCAATTAGTATTTCTCTATCAGTTAAGGTTTCATCACAGAAGCAAAACCACTATGAGTGATAAGGATTATAGAGATTTGACCAGCAATTATGGGAGCTAATTAAGCAGTTTGTAGAGGGCTGCTGCTTCTGCATCTAGTGTTGGGATAGAAATCAAAGGGCAGGCAACAGGAAAGGAAAGATGGATGTGAAGTGGAGGAAGAACAAGGACAGACTGGAAGTCACATTTATTTCTCACCAACCTGTGAGAGAGAACTTGCAGTATAAGCTGGCACCCTTCATTACAGAGCCCACAAATCTAACCTAGAATTTGGATAAGCTGATGGAGAAGAACCAGAGGGAGCTGGAGAAGCTGGAAGTCAAATGCCAACATGGTGATACAGCAAAGTCAGGTGTGTAAGCTGCAACATTGCCTGACCATATACCAACCTTCTGGGCATAAATACAGCTCTTCACTTCTACCTTACAAAGAACACGCAAATTTCTCTTGTGGCTGACCCAAACTGAAAGAAACTACTTTGAAAAGGAAATTCTCGGAGAAGTAGTTCCAGCTCAGTTGTGTGCTGACACAATACAAAGCTGTCACAATTTGAATGGATATTTTCTTCCACTTTTTTGTCTTTTTTCCATTAATTATATTTTAGATTTGTCTCTTGTAAATTACACATAACTAGAATTCTTCTTCTGTCCTACATCAGGCTCTATCTTTTAGTTGTCAGGCTCTATCTTCTGTCATATTTAATCCATTTACATTTATTGGCATTTATAGCTTTCATAATTTAAAAATAATTTTTTAAAAAATGAAATAAATATGTACTGAAAATATATGCATCATGTGCATTTCTGAAGTATTTTATACACAAAACTTGTTACTTACCACTTCTCCAGCAGAGGCAGCCAACATATGTTTCATAGGTGTCAAATATGAAGATGAGTCAGTATGCAAAAACCACTTCACATATTCATAGGTGATAAAAAATGCAGCAGCTGAAATTTAAAACAAGCCAGTCTTTCACAAAGTTTAAACATATATTCAAACTGTTAAGAAATATGTTTCTCAAAAGGTATGACAATAATTATTAAATTATGAGATAACAGAAAAGGTGATAAGCATGTATTTTTTTTTCCTACCCTTACTCTTTTGGAATTTACTGAGGTCAGGTTATATGCCTGATCTTAGACTTACAGAAATGCAGAAAATATAATGCTTACCCTGAGGGAGCATAAGAGCTAATCTAGCACTTACCGTGTTGTGCTGACAAATTACTTAAACATTTTTAAAGTCAACTTTAGAAAAGGATATGAATTTCTGTGATCCAAAATATCATTATGTATGGCCATAAAACAATCAACTACATTATGAATAAATAGGTTAAAATTGCAAACATACTTTAACTTGAAAGAAAATGTCTATTCTATAATGTTTTATTGCTGGTTACTCAAAATAATCATGGCTATTTTTTACTGCGTGAATTCACCTTCACATCAAGAAAACAACCATTTAATTAAAACTGGAAATCAAAATCTCTAAAAAGCTACCCCTATCACCATAAACTAATCGCAGCTGCACATGAGGGCTTTAAAACTTTCTATGTACTGTTAATCAAAAAATGTTTATCAGTTGGATAAAAGATAAGGTACAAGAGATAAAGGAATGACAAATTCATCTTCTGAAGGACATTTGAACATGTCACAAAGTCTGCAACACTGAGGAAAACAGCCTGATAAGTGAAAATCAGTTCTCCAAAGTCAACAAAAGCTTGTAAAGGATCTTCACATGCTAACAAATATACACTAGGCTAAAAGAAGAGGCACTCTGTCCACAAATGAATAATAACCAGTTCAGGCAGTTTTACGTGGTTAACACAAGTCTATTCCCATTTGTGTTTCTTCATACGATTTTTCCCACTTCAGCCCACTCACTAAATGTGGAGCTATAATACCTCTAATTGCATTCAGCTGTTAAGTTCTGCCACTCTACCTCCTACCCTCCTAATCCCCAAGAAAAGGGAGAAAGACAGTGGTAAAACTTCCTCCATTTCATGGTTAACCACCTCAACTTTGTCTGACTTTATGGCTTCTTTTGTGATCTATAAGGTTCTTTAAGAATATAAGTTCCAAACCTCCCTCCAACCTCCAGGTGGCATCCAAGAAGGCCTCTACTAACTGGAAATGTCAGTACAGTCAGGTTCCAAGTTGGGAGCTGAACAAGTTAAAGCAAAGAAGAGGGGCTGGGTTATCTGATGCCTATAGTTTCTTCTGGCTCTTAACAAACAAACAACAACAACAAAATAAAAAAAAAAAAACAACTATGCTTTCTCTACATTCCCTTCGAAACAGGGAGTAAGGCTCCTAAACATGGTCTTCTTTTCACCTCTTTCCATCTTTCGTCCCCTCTAGCTCCACCCCAATCCCTCACTCCTGCAGCATAGGTTTACAAAAACATCCATAGCCACTGATGATCAACTACAGTGAAGTTCTGTACTCAGATTAAGACCGTAACCAATAGCAAAAGAAAAAAGACACCAAACACAAAAGTCCAATTCATTCAAAATTTGCAGTAAAACAAGGCTATTTTTGAAACTCTGGTACTCTCACTTTTCCCTAGCACCTCCCATTCACTAAAGTTTGGTGGATGGGACCAAAAAAAAAAAAAATCAAAACCACATTCTATAAGTAAACTCCTAAAGGAAGAAGAATGCAAAACCTGTGATCTTAATGACAGCACTATGTAACCCACACACTACAGCTAATTGTACATCTCCCCACAATAATCTTTATGTGCAATATGTAAGAGAAAAAGATCTTTAGAAGAGTGAGTGTAAATGAAGGAGACATCATAAAAAATAGTGACCAAAAGATGGGGACTTAGTGACACGTTTCTTTGCAATTCCCTAGTTCAGAGGTTCTCAAACTTGTCTGAATGTAGCAATCATCTAGGGATTTTTTTAAAACATCCAATGCCCAGGTCACACCTCAGACCAATTAAGTCACAATCTCTGGGGTTGGGTGACAAACACCAGTACAAGTGATCCTTGAACATGGGTTTAAAGGCACAGGTTCACTTATACATGGCTTTTTTTCAATAAATATATTGGAAAAATTTTTGGATATTCGTGATAATTTGAACAAACTTACAGATGAACCACATAGCCTAGAAATACCAAAAAATTAAGAAAAGGTGGCTGGCTGAGCACCATGGTTCATGCCTGCAATCCCAGCACTTTGGAAGACTGAGGCGGGTGGATCATGAGATCAGGAGATCGACACCATCCTGGCTAACATGGTGAAACCCCATCTCTACTAAAAAAAAAAAAAGCCGGGTGTGGCAGCGGGCGCCTGAAGTCCCAGCTACTCAGGAGGCTGAGGCAGGAGAATGGCGTGAACTCAGGAGGCAGAGCTTGCAGTGAGCCAAGATGGCACCACTGTACTCCAGCCTGGGCGACAGAGCAAGACCCTGTCTCAAAAAGAAAAGAAAAGAAAAGGCTAGCCGTGCCATGAATACATAAAATATATATAGATACTAGCCTATTTTATCATTTACTAACATAAAACATAAAAAGTTAAAATTCATCAAAACTTATAAACACAAACCATATAGCACATCATTCATAGTTGAGAGAAATGTAAACAAATGTAAAGATGGGCCAGGCACAGTGGCCCACATCAGTAATCCCAGCACTTTGGGAGGCTGAGGCTTAAGCTCAGGAGTTCAAGACCAGCCTGGACAACACAGAGAAACCCCATCTTTACAAAAAAAACCAAATAATTAGCCAGGTGTGGTTGCCCACACCTGTAATCCCAGCTACTTGAGAGACTGAGGTGGGAAGATCACCTGAGCCTGGGAGGTTGAGGTTGCAGTGGGCCAAGATCATGCCACTACATTCCAGACTGGGCAACGGAGTAAGACCTGTCACAGGGGGAAAAACAAGGTGTAGTGTTAAATCGTAACTGCACACCAAATTAACTGCAGCACATACTGTACTACGTAGTAATCTCTTTGCCACCTCCTCTCGCTATTATCGTGAGTTCAGATGTTGCCGAGTGTCCACTTAAAACGCCATGTGACACTAATTATCTCCACATGAGCAGTTCATCGCCCCAATAAATTGCCTGTCACAGTACAAAAGGATCTCTCCCAGTTCTTACGTATTTTTTGTTGTGGTTAGTGCCATACCACAAACTTTGAATAACACCATAGGACCCAAATGAAGATGCTGGAAGTGATGACATTACAAGAAAGCTCCTAAGAAGCAGAAAGGAGTCATGACATTACAAGAAAAAGTCAAATTGCTTGTTACATACCACAGACTGAAACAGTGGCTGCCAGCCATTTGAAAAGGAATGAATCCAGCTTAATCCATTGTTTAAAAAAAAAAAATGAAACGAAACTCATTAACCCATTGCCACAGCTATGTCAGCAGGCATGAAAACTTTGCACTTCTTGCAAAGTTTTTGTTTTGAAAATGCAGCTTTTATGTGGGTAAAGGATTGCTATAATAAAGGCATACTTATTATGTCTAAAATCATTTGAGAAAAAGCAAAGTCATTTCATGACAAGATCAAACAAAAGGAAGGTGAAAAATCTAAAGCTGAAGAAGTTAATGCCAGCCAAGGACGGTTTGATAATTTGAGAAAAAGATTCGGCTTTAAAATGTCAAGATAACAAGAGAAGCAGCTTCTGCCATCCATAAGTCAGTAAACAAGTTCCCAGCTGCCATTAAGTAAATTATTGAGGAGAAAGGACATCTGCCTGAATAGGTTTCTAATGTAGATTAAAGTGCCCTATTCCGGGAAAAGAAAAATGTCACAAAGGACATTTATTAGTAAGGAAGAGAAGCAGGCAAATCCTTCACAGTATTCATGACAGAGCCAGTCAAGAAAACCATAAAAGAGATTGTGGATGTGGGGGGAAAAAAAAAAAGTTGGGGGTGAAGGGTTTCAAAATATAAATCTTAAATTCAAGAGCTGACACCACACCAGAAGAATTAACGGAAGACAACTTGGTGAAGATGAGTGCTTCCAAACCAGTGTCAAATGACAAGGGAGAAGATGTAGAAGAAGGAGTGCCAGAAAAGAAAATGACATCAGACAATCTAGCAGAAAGGTTCTGATTATTAAAAACTGCTTTTGACTTCTTTTATGATGAGGACGCTTCTACAATATGGGCACTGAAACTAAAGCAAATGGTGAAAGGATTGGTACCATATAGAATTATTTTCAGAGAAATGAAACAGCAAAAAAGTGAGACAGAAACTATGATATATTTCCACAATATTACACCATGTGAGCCTGCTTCTCTTGCCTCCCCTTCCACCTCCTCTACTTCTTCTGCCTCTGCCACCCCTGAGACACCAAGACCAGCTCCCCTTTTTTCTCCTCTTCCTCAGCCTACTCAACCTGAAGACCTTTATGATGAGCCACTTCCACTTACTGAATATACGTTTTCTCTTCCTTACAATTTTCTTAATATTTTTTCCCTAGCTTACCTGATTGTAAGAATACAGTATATAAAACATTTGCCGGACGCAGCGACTCACGCCTGTAATCCCAGCACTTTGAGAGGTCAAGGCAGGCGGATCACATGAGGTCAGGATAACATGGTGAAACCCTGTCTCTACTAAAAATACAAAAAATTAGCCGGGTGTGGGGGCGTGTGCCTGTAATCCCAGCTACTCAGGAGGCTGAAGCAGGAGAATCACTTGAACCCAGGAATTGGAGGTTGCAGTGACCTGAGATCACGCCATTGCACTCCAGCCTGGGCGGTGACACAGCAAGACTCTGTCTTGAAAAAAATAAAAAAATAAAAAAATAAAAAAACACATAAATATATGTTAATACATATCTTAACACACATACAAAGTATGTGCTACTCAACTGTTTATGCTATCATTAAGGCAGCAGCAGGCTATCAGTAGTTAAGTTTTAGGGAAGTCAAAAGTTATATTCCGATTTTTGACTGCACAGGGCGTTGACACCCCTAACCGCCACATTGTTCAAGGGTCAACTGTATTTGTTTAAGCTCTTCAGTAAACAGGTGATTCCAAAGTGGACAAACTGGGGAACCCATGACCCTCTCACATACTTAAAACTATGCTTGGCATGGAGTGGATGCTCAGTTAACGACTTGTTACAATTACTCAAAGTATTAACATACACAGAAATGCAAGGATGACCAAAACAGTTTGCCATTCTAATGATGGCTGGGGGATGGGGACGGGCAGGAGAAAAAAAGAAACAGAAATACTATTTTTCTCTTTGCACTACAAATCTTTGTATGAATGCTATGCTCACAGACTGAACATTTAAATGTCAGGTTAACATAAGAGAAAAAAATTCTCATGAATCATCCTGTGAAAAATGAAAGCAAACCCTAGAATTTAAGAATCTTCTAGAGCTGTGGTTTTGTGGGTGTGTCTTCTGTGTGGTGATTTTTTTGTTTTGTTGCTTTAGTTTACTTTTGGAGGCCACTAGAGGCATCCAACAGTAAACAATTAAAATAAGTATCTGCAAACAGTATACCAAGAAGCAGATTAAACAAAACAGATTACACTGACTAAAGGGTAAGAGCGTCATAAGTCACATAACATGACTTTAGAACCAAAACAAACGACACTGGAAGGAGAGTATCCAGGAGATCATCAGTGAGAAACACTTGCATCATCTAAGAGCAATTTAATTAGGATAGAAATGTTTAATGCCTGCTCTCTAAGACGCTCCAAAGCAGCGACCATCAAACCTGACTTCACATCGGAGTCACCTTGGAAGTTATTAAAACTCCTGATACCCAGGCAAAGCCTAGACCAATTAAACTTCTAGGGTGACACAGGACATCAGTACTTTTTAAGGCTTCCCAGTAGATTCTAATGTGCAGGCAAAGTTGAGAATGATTGTTCTGAGGAATCACAACATTAAAATAACACTTTAAGGATTCTAGCTGGAAATTTTAACAACAAAAACCATTTTTTAAAGATTGCTTTTTTTTTTCCTATTACAAATATATCAAAATAGAATCTATAACACTATCTGAGTCAAAAATAATGGGTTAGGCCCAGCACAGTGGCTCATGACTACCATAATCCCAGCCTCTGGCAGCCCAAGGTGGACAGATTGCTTGAGCCTAGGAGTTCAAGACCAGCCTAGACAACATGACAAAACCCATTCTCTACAAAAAACAGAAAAATTAGCCGGGCATGGTGGTGCACGCCTGTAGTTCCAGCTACTTAGGGGGCTGAGGTAGGAGGACGGAGGTAGGAGCCTGGAGGTCAAGGTTGCAGTGAGCTATCATCTCACCACTGCACTCCCACCTGGGCGACAAAGTGAGACCCTGACTAAAATAAATAAAAAATAATAACAACAGGTTAAAGAAGTAAATTCAGAAGATAAGCTTCAACACACAAGGAATTCTATGTGGGTAAGACCACACACCATTCTGAAAATCCAATCTTATCATGGCTTTACAGAAGTGAGAATATAATTTTTTACCATTAGGAAAGGATCCAACAGCAGCAGAAGGAACACCAGCATATATTCCACGAAAACCACCAGCCTTATTAAATCCTTGGGGACTCTGCAGCCTGGTTTTAATGGTATCCAGAGGAAATAATATCAAGTCAACAGAAACACCTGCTACCCCACCAGCCTTTGAAAAGAAAAGAGGGAAGAAAAAGAAAAAAAAAAAGGTTACAACAAAATAAGCCCTCTGCCACTTGGGGGCAAAGATAGGAAAAAGACAGTCTTTAAAGCACATTTCTCATTCCTTTCAGTTCACAACTTCTGCAGCACAAAGGACCTTCAGTCTAAATCTTGAAGTTTTCTTGAGAAAATAGCCATTATTGTGCTATATTTTTAAGTTGTAAACTTTATATTAAATTTTCTTTTTAAATCAAATTTTAATAAAAAAATTTTTAAACAAAATTTAAATTCATTGTTAATACAGTACTCACATGGTTCAAAAAGCTAAAAAAAAAAAAAGCCAGATGTAATGGCTCATGCCTCCCAACAGTATGGGAGACAGAACTGGGAGGATTACTTGAGGCCAGGAGTTCGAGACCAGCCTGTGCAACATAGTGAGACATCATCACTACAAAAAATAAAAAATTAAGCTGGGGATGGTGGCACATGCCCGTAGTTCCAGCTACTTGGGAGGCTGAAGAACAAGGATCACTTCAGCCTAGGAGTTCAAGGGTTCAGTGGCTATGATCCTGCCACCGCACGCCAGCATAGGTGACAGCAAGACCCTGTGTCTTAAAAACAAACAAATAGCCAACAAGAGCAACAAATAAACTTCAAAAAAAGGTCAACAGCTCAAAGTCTCCTTCCAATCTTGTTCCTAATAACTCAGGTAAACTACTTTTATTGGTTTCTTGCTGTATACTTCCAAAGTTACTTTAAACATACACAAGCATGTATGAACATATAGTTTCATTTTCTTTAAAAAGAAAAGATGATGTACAATATGCACTACTCAGTACTTTGTTGTTTTTTTTTTTTTTTAACAATTTATCTTTATCTTTTCACATCAGACCAAATGTTATACTGTTGTCTTAACCAATAAGCAGTGAATCCGAATTGACTCCTTTCAGACTGGAATTTTGAAACAGCTTATGAACTTTGTGAATCTGGATCTGTATTTTAATAATCACACATCTAAGAACTCATATAGTATTCTCTTCGGCTTTAAATGTATTTGAAAATTCCTTGATAATTTTTTAATCAAGTGAATAAATTGATTTTTTTTAAAGAGCTAAATTTCTGAAGGAAATTAAAATCTGGCCCAAACTAGTCATCTCCCAAGAGATACCATGTTGCTTTGGGGAAGCTGTACTTTAAAAACTGATTAATTCCTGCTAAATGGATTTTGGGGAAAAAAAAACTGATTAAGAACTAACTCTGTACCTCGTGATTATAGTGACACGTATGTAGAATATGTTTAAACTCATTACACCTTAGTCAAAGAAAACAAATTGAAAAAATATGAACACAAAGAGCATCAAAGAAAGGCTAATACGTATGAATCCTTACATGTGTGATTATTAAAATACAGATCTAGATTCACAAGGATCATTAGTTGTTTCAAAATGTAGGTCTCAAAAAAGTCAATACACATGCACTACTTATTAGTGAAAAAGACAAAAACATAACATTTGTTCTGATATGAAAAGATCACCCAGATCTAAAGGCATCATTTAAAGATGTGAGTTAAAATCAGTTTACAGTAGGCAGACAAATGCACTATAGAGGAAACTTTCCTATACAATTTTTTAACTGAATTGCTAATTTTTGCTATATTTTGAAATCAGAACCATGTGAATTCAAATTCAAAAAGTAAAAATATACATTTTTAAACTATACATTTCATGACAAAGGAAAAAAAAGAATCAGTATTATTCAAACATACAACCGAAGTTCAAACTGATTGTTTCCATCCTTTAAGTTTACAAAATGTGCAGATGCCACAAAGCTTAGTACCTAGCAAATACTATCTGCTTTACTTACCGCTCACCATAAAACCATCCCAGGAGTTAACTGGAAAAATGAAATACTTTAATGATAAATCCAATACCTATTTTCAAATTAACTAGCACAGGTTAATTATTAAAAATTAATTTACACTAGACAAGTACATTACTACAAATAGTAATACTATACTTCACGATCAGCCCAAAGACATGAAAGAAGCCCAAAGACCCTGAAGTTCTACTCTGCAAATTATCTAAGAAGACGTCACCCAAAAGGGCACAGAGATGTGCCAGTAGAGAAACCAAGTAGTACCAAAAGAATATCCAATAATGTGGGATTTCTTTCTGGACATAAAGGTGGCCTTCCCTAAGTTACGGCAAAAAGTTCACAAGTAATGCAGGAAAGCAAAAAGGCCAATCGTCAAAATTCTTCTTACTTCTTGTTTCAGGATTTTTATAAAATTCAGTAAGTAGAGCCAGGCACGGTGGTACGTACCTGTAATCGTAGCTACCTGGGAGGCTGAGGCAGGAGGATTGCTTGAGCCCAGGAGTTTGAGATTACAGTGAGCTATGATTGTGCCCATGAATAGCCACTATGCTTGCCTGGGCAACACAGGGAGACTTCGTCTCTAATAATAATTTGGTAAGTAAACATTTTGCCTGCCTCTTCGTTTTCTCAAAATACAGAGAGAATAGAATCCTGGTGAAAATGTCTCATGTGACTAGATTATTTAAAAACATGCTGCACTTCCCTCTCATTTTCTCTTTAATCTTAGGAGAGGATTCAGAGAAACACTATCTACTGCTAAATTTTAATCAATAATTACTCTTTTAATCTAGTTGGCTACTTTACACGTATTGATTATCTAACCTTTCTTTCATCACAATTCTTAACTTCTGAGGAAAAAAATGACCAGATTCAATCTACTTGTCTGGTAAAACATGACTCAAGGATTACCAATCGCTTCTATCGATTTCAAACTTCTATTTAACTCAAATGTCATTTAAATTCATGAGACTGAAGAAAAAAAAAAAAAAAAAACCACCCATGGCCAAGCACAGTGGTTCATGCCTGTAACCCTAGCACTTTGGGAGGCCAAGGTGGACAGAATGAGACTGAAAAAAAAAAAAAAAAAAAACCGGCTAACAGAGAACCTGAAGAGTAAGAATACCTATATATTTAGCCACACAACCACATACTTCAGATTTAAACAAAAACCTTAATGCCTATATCAATATTGTTTTGTATGTAAATAAGTAAAAAATATATAAGCCAGTAACAACCTAATTATAAAGAACTCTATCAAACTCTTATTCTTTAGCCTGAAAATTTTATTTTGTTAAAATCATTTATCAGAAAGTTATCTGGCAAGTGATTCGTTTCATAATTTATGATAGCTTATACTGAAAAATTCTAACTAGAAAAAATCCAAAGAAATAGGACATAACCCAGATAACCAGCAAATCTTGCTAGAGCATCACAATGTATTGAGACCTCAATATCTTATAGATAAAATACATGTCTCTACCTTAAGTTAATAAATGTATGAAGTGTTGGCAGGCTGAAGAGAGGAAGTGCCTAATTAGTGCTCTGCAACTACTCTGAGAAGTGATAGGTCAGAATTACATGCCATAAAACTTTTTTTCTCAAAAGGAGGAGGGCACACCATAAAAACAGCATCACCGCTGTCCCTCTAGGACAAAACCGAATCATCTGCGTAATTTAACTAAGCAAAATCAACACAGGTCACGGGCCTAAATGACAGCTAAGAAGAACCAGCCTTAATATTAACATGGCTTCTCAAGGGAAACACTTCCCTGACAGTCTCGGTTTCCTCCACAATGAAGTGGCCACCCATGACCTGAGTCACCATCTTCCTCACTGCAGAACTGCCACTTCTGTTTTCTGACATACTTGTCACCTTCCCTACTGCCCATTCCTTCTCCCTGCAGTGCTCGCTGCCTCTCTGTACTAATCATTTTCATAAAATCCAAATTTCATCTTGCCACTCTCCAGCCTATAAATCTTCCAAACTTTCCAACAGCCCCGAGGATGAAGAAAACCCTAGCACAGGCCGGGCGCGGTGGCTCAAGCCTGTAATCCCAGCACTTTGGGAGGCCGAGACGGGCGGATCACGAGGTCGGGAGATCGAGACCATCCTGGATAACACGGTGAAACCCCGTCTCTACTAAAAAATACAAAAAACTAGCCCGGCGAGGTGGCGGGCGCCTGTAGTCCCAGCTACTTGGGAGGCTGAGGCAGGAGAATGGCGTAAACCCGGGAGGCGGAGCTTGCAGTGAGCTGAGATCCGGCCACTGCACTCCAGCCTGGGCGACAGAGCGAGACTCCGTCTCGGAAAAAAAAAAAAAAGAAAAGAAAACCCTAGCACAGCCTTCCAGGCTCTGGAAATTCTGGAGCCCCTCCAGCTCTCAAAACTTGTAGTATGTGCCCTTTGCTCAGTCCTTTCTTTCTACCTGGATCTTTTCCTCTAAATCATCTGATCTTCCTCATTTCAAGGACTTCATACAGATGTCCCCTAATCTCCAATTCAGGTTTAGATCCTCTTGCCAAGCACTGAACACAATTTTAATTACATAGTTTTGTCTCTGACCATTTGTTCAGTACCAGTCCAATTAAACCATAAGATCTTTATCTGCTTTGTTTACTAATACGTTCCCAGCACCAGCACATATTAATGGGAGGCACTCAATGGCTCTAATAAAGGGTTACTATCTATATTTTAGAAGGCACTAAAAAGGTACACTGAACTTTTTAAAAAAAATAGCAAAAGACAGGATCAGGCAATTCCCAAAAGAAAAATATAAATGACTAACAAAAATTTGAAAATATGATTCTCCATCATTAATTATCAAATAAAAACAAAATGTTTTCCCAATTAGAAAAAATTTAAAATATGAAGAATGGGTATGGGCACTGTTAATGAAAACATTACCATAATCTATTGGAGGACAATTTGGCAAAATGAACATTTTAAATTATCAAACCCTTTGACCCAGTTAATTTTATTTCTAAGCATTTCTTCCACAGAAATAAATGCACAAATATACAAGAATGTCTACTACACCATTTCTGTAATAATAAAAAAATTGAAAACAGCCTCAAAGTCCATCCACTGGGGTCTTGTTAAGTAAATTAAGTTATACACAAATAATGAATTGC